TTATGGGGTCGTCTACGAAATGATTGCTGACAACAATCACTACCTTTATTTATCTTATCGGGCATACAAAATGGACTGTTGGTAAGGCTAGTTGGGAAACACTGTTCTCCGTCACTTACCACTTACCAGGGTAAGATTTTTTGGTCCATATTATACCTTCAAAGATCGATTAATGTAACATATGTAATTTTGTTATTTATATTAAAATATAAAATACGGAATCTATCAGGTTGATTTAGTTGTCAAATTGAAATATTAAGCTCTCAATACGAGTCGTTAACCCCGTTGGGTTCGACCGTCTAAAAGAATATTAGATTTGAGAGTTTCGGTTTTCAGTTTTCGGAAGTCCGGGCACCTTACTGTACTGCTGAAACTGCATGAGTTTTAGGTGTTTTTCTTCAGATTTATCAAATGTGTCGGTTGTTTAGTGAAATTTCATTTTAGTGCATTTGATGTTATAAAATCTTCAAAAATGCTTCCTTTGAGAGTTTTTTTGGACATTTTGATAAATAAAACATAAAAGTATGGTTATTTGATGATTTGTTTTATAAATGATGATCATTTGATGTTAATTCACTTTTAGTGTATTTGTTTTCTATAAACCCCTTGGAAATTCCATATTATTAGGTTATTGGATATTTTGAAAGTATAATTGTATGGTTTAAGTATAGAGATGAACCATCCCAACAATGGTGGACTTTCGACCAAATCATACTTTAGAAAATAATTTTACCTACTTATTGAGCAAATGCATTTTATTGACTTATGTTGACTTTTATTTGAATAGTCAAATAAGTTTTGAAGTTTATTGATTTGTTATTGGTCCAAATGAGTTCGGGGACATTTGTTTGATTTAAATTGCTCAATGTTGAGCTTTGGACGTGACTTGCATTTATTGTATATTTATTTGAGAATTACATATTTTGAGTGCGTTGGTCATTCAATTGAAGTCAAATAAGTTTATATTGTAATACATTAGATCCATAAACATGATTCATGTGATGCCATTCTGGGTATTGCGAAAATAAACTTATGTAGAGTCAGACTCTGAGACCTATGAGTTGTCGGTGCCCTTTGGTATTTGCAGAGGTGAATTTTCATAGAGCGGACTCTAGGGCCAATGGGTCGATATTTCTTGTTTAAGTGAGAAGTTTTGATGTTCTCATTATAATTTCTAATGAGTGGTCACTAAGTCAATGATTGAGAATGCTTAGTGGTACTCTTATGAGTCATATACTAAGATAGTGTCATGTATTGGTACTCGTTGGAGTTGTATATTGAGATCGTTGACTTTTGTGGGAGAGACTCATGTAGAGGACGAGTAGGAATAAATGTCACCTCAAAGCTTGAGATGGTACTCATTGGAGTTGTATACGGAGTTAGGGTCTTCCGATGGCACTCGGTAGAGTCATAGATCCCATTGACCTTGAGTGAAACTCGGTAACTTTGAAGAATGACTTACTTTGTGTATGATCATGATCGATGGAAATTGGTCTCCCCTGTTACCGAAATATTTTGGTTTGGGTATTGAGTATTATCCATGTATTCAGTGATATTTGGGCATGGAGCGTTATCCATGATTTCTGGTTTTGGGTATTGAATGTTAATCATATTTTTGTGTTTTGGATAATAAAGTTTAGCCATGTCTTCGATATTTGAATATTAAACTTTATTCACGATTTAGGTGAGTATTTTTTATTAAAGTTCAAATGGGTGCTTTGCTCACTGAATTTTCACCATGAAAATCATGGGTTTGAAAAAGATATTGCTCATATATTAAATACATGTCATTTGATAAGTTGTGAATTAAATAGATTTCTTTCAGTTTCATCTTTTTGTATTAAAGATGAAAACTGTTTAAACTTACTGGTGATAATTAATACTTTTTCTTGTCGGCATGTATCAGATCTTTGTTGGGAATGGTACCAGCGACATTTTGAAGAGTTGAGTGCTAGTTAGAAGACATGAGAAGAATTTAGATATTCATGGACGTCTTTCGTATTCTAGAGATAACAATTGTTATTTGATTTTAATAACATATGTCCTTAACATAGACTTTGTGTAAGGTTTGATTTATTAATTGTTGATTTAATTCTCAAATTGTCATTTTAGGCAATCAAGTGTTGACCTTTAAAAGATATTTATTCCTTGTCTTATGTGTTATAAATTTTTAAATTCGCCGCTCTTTCCAGTTTTTGTGTGTTACAAGTAAGGTCTCGGTCTTTACCTTGCTCATCGAGTAAGGCAAGTGACACCAGATAAGCGCTTATCTAGTAAACATTTAGATTTAGTAAACGACTGTTTAGTATTTGAAATTCATTTAATCACAAAAAAAACCTTATGGGTATGAATTTTTTTGCTAGGTTTTGCCTCCTGCCACTTACTCTCTGCTACTTTTTTCGCATTAAGTGAAGTCATGTTAGGGGTATTTTAGTCATTTTATAAATATTTTTCATGAATAAACTAAAGAACATCATAATATCATCTTGAAGGATTGGGCAATTGAACCAATAACACATTTCAAGAAAAAAAAAACACCCTAACAACAAACCAAGAACCATCAACAAGAAGCCACATTTTTGAGTCGTCATTGACATTATCATTTCCAAATAAATCAAAACTAGCAAACCCAAGTATTTTAAATCCATTCTGGAAATTCAAACAATTCTATTCAAAAATCCTAAGTTTAAGTTAGATTGTTTAAACTATAAATCAAAATCAAAAAATATAACCATAAATCTCATGGCATTTAGAAGAAGCGGATTGCATTTGGCTCCGTTGTTTTTGTTCATTGCTTGATGTAAATGGATGATAAAAAAAATCGGCTAATAGATCAATGAAGGAAAAATAGTGGAGCATCATCATAATCGTTGTTGTCGAGCATCCTTGTTGTTGTCGAGATTCTTGAGGATTGGAGTCAACAAGTGGATGGTGTGTTTCTGTATGGAGGCTGCTCATCTTCTTGTTCTCCACTTCTAATCACGTCTCTTTGATGACGATGATCATGTCAAAAGGCAACAAAACTGATGGATATCAGATGAAAGATGCAGACGATACTTTTAGTTGAGATAAAGAAGAGAATAAGGGAGAAGAGACAAAAAGAGATAGAGATAGAGATAAATAAAGATATCACAAATTAAAGTAAACTAGTGTTGGCTCCAAGCAACGATAATTTATTTATGGAATTACTTGACTTAGTTAAGATAAAACGTAATTCATCGGTTAACAATGAATGAGATATAATCTAAGACAACAACTATATTTCCATCAATGATTAATTTGCATACATTGATAATCGTTTGTTGTTACGAAGAGTTTGATCAAAGACATCGATAAATAATTTTTTTGTTGTGCAATTTAAAACTCAAACGACATGTCCCACAACCATATCACTATTGTTGTTACGTAAAGTATAAATATTGTTTCTTTTTTTTTTTCCAAAAAAGGGTCGGCTAAAATTAGTCAGCCTTATGAGTTGTCACAAAAAGGCATCATCTTATACTATCATCTTTTATACAATTTTTCATCTTCTCACCAAGGTGGGATACCAAACTCACCATATTTCAAGATTTAAGAAATATTTCATTCTCGTGATGTCACCTAATTACCTATGGTTTAAGGTTTTAGTGAGGTAACATGTTATATATTATCCTGTTTTCCTACTTCTCATGATTAATGTACGAATTTATCAGAATATTAGACTAAACAAAAAGTCTATATATTGCAAAGAAGCTGGTGCATTGTACACTTTCCTTCCCTATTTTTATTTTTTCCTACTTGGTTTTTATTTTGGTGTAAGGTTTTACGAGGGAATATGTTGTATCATCACTAATTTGACTTTGCACAATGGGGAGTGTTGTAGGATAAGTGTGCGATCATAAAGGATATGACTATGTAATAAATTTATATTACAACATGGATCACCCACAAATACCAATAGTTTCCGTAGAATCCGATATTTTTCAAAGAAATAAATAACTCAGAGCCCTGTGTAATCTTCCATTGATTTGTGCTTCCCACCAACAATTCACCAACTTTTGTGACGGTTTTATGACGAATCACCCCTTTAGCAACGGATTTCTTGAAAATTTTTTGATAGATAAAAGTATTCCATTTAATAGGGTCAATGAGTATTCAATATATAAGAAGTTGGTTTAGGTAGGTCGGCTTGTGTGTGTGAGAAAAGTGTTGGCATAGCATTTCTGGACATGGTGGAAAGTGATGTGCGTGTTTTGACTTGGGGATGGAAGGCGAGAGGAAGAACGAGTTTTCGCCGGGAGAAGGAGCCCATGGTGAAGGGGAATTTTGGCAAGGAGTTGGCGAGTTGGGGCGGTGACAGATACAATATAGCAAGGGGATTACCGGAGATTGAAGGCTTCACTAGATGAGATGAGGAGTATTTTAATTTGGGGCAGAAAACATGATGTACAAGGACCAAAATTGTAGTTACCCTTGTTTTTCTTTTTTCTTTTTCTTAAAGGAAAATGAGATAAAAAGGAAAAAGTGTAGAATTAGAATATCTCACTTGATAGATTTTTTTAACCGTCGTTAGTGGGAATGACAAAATTTAGTCGATTTTGCAAATCACCATGATTATATTATACATAATTTTGAAATTGTAGGAATGAAAAGTGTTATTTTCAACAAACCACATGGACCAACATTGTAGTTTAGAATAATAATAATAATCTAATATAAAATAATTTTTTTATTTATCATTATTTTACATTTTGATCTCAAAGCCACAGTTGGCAAATCAAAGATGATGTTCAAATAAAAATTAAGTTTCATTATATTCTCTCACAACCAAACACATAATTAAACCAACTTTAATTTCATTTCAAATCACACAAATTCCAATTTCTTTTACATATTCAATTTTTTCCAAAAAAAAAAAACCATTTTCCAATCTATACGTGCATGTAATTACAATATAGAAGATTTAGAAGAAAAAAAATCACAGAAAATAAATTTTAAAACGCCTCATATCATCAAGTATTTCAAGGCCTGAAAATTGTCTCCGTATTCTCCGGCAGATCAAACATCTTCACTGAACCTTCACCGGAGATATGGCCTTCTGGTTCATCAATCCTATGGTTCACAACATTATCCGAGAACCCAATATTTGACTCCGACCACCCCAACTCCTCTCCCGGCAACGGCGGCAGCCCACAATTGCTTACACCACTTGTACCAAAATAATCATGTTTTTCTTGCTCTTCCTCATGATTATTGAAAATTGAGTTGTACCCACAAAATTGCATTCCATTCCCCTCCCCAAGAAAACTCTCTAAATTTGACCCGTAGTTGGTAGCACCAAACTCCATCTCCATATTGGGAATGGTCGGAAACCCGAATGTCAACATTGGATCAACTTCACTATGGAACACATGATCATGCATTTGTTCATGATCATCTGTACCTTGAGGCCTTTGATTAAGAAAATTGGCGTACACTTGTTGGAGATCGATATTTGAAGGCTGCTGCACCATAGACGATCCACCATCACAGCTGCTACGAGTTTCTATGTTGCCACGACCTCCATAACCGTTGGTTCCAACTCCACCATGGGCAAGAAAGTTCTGGGAACTGACGGTATCAGAGATACGAACAGATCTTGCTCGTCTGGTTTTCCGGCAGCCACCACCGACAGGGATGTTTCTAAGTGAACCACCTTTAGTCCAATATCTTCTACACCCTTTACAGAAGTACCTAGGTTGAGTCAAGCTGTAATTGTTGTAGTAACAAAACTTGGTATTCGATGAACCACAACGAGGACATGGCGGACAAATCTCAACATTGGGCTTCCATCCTCTTTCCATCGTATAAAATGTAAAAGTTCATAAAGCAGCTTCAATTGCGATTCTGTTTCCTTCAACATCCAAACCACACTGAATATATTTCACCGTGAGTGAAGTTGAAGGAGGTATATGAACATGGGTTCAGGGTTAAATTAGGGTTTACTGGACAAGATGCATGTGAAACTAAGAGGAGTCAGTGTGTGTAAAAAGGTGTTTTCTGTCAGAAGTAGAGAGAGAGAGAGAAAAAAAGAGGTGAAGTGGTTATATAAAGCGGGAAAAGGTTGGCCTATCTTTGGTTGGACTTGGGATTTATGAAGGATTTGTTTTGTTTTATTAACTAATGACATTTTTTTTATTAACCTGGAAATCCAACCCGGTATGTGAGCCGACTAATCACAGGACGAACACCTGTTTTGCAGATAACTCAGAATCACTGCATTTGAACCTTTGTGGCCACAAGGGGATATTTATTTTTTTTGGATTTGAACTTAGGACTTCAGGTATTTTTGATCTTTGGAGCCAAGTTCAAACCAATCAAACACCATCCTTGTGGTTTTAATTAACATTTTACACTCTAAGGAGTAAGGAGGTTGATTTAATAATATCAAGATTCAATTATGATTCATATATAATCAATGTAGGATGTGTTGCTTAGTTATAACTGGATACGAATTCAAAATCTTTAGATTGTTTCAAAAGAGATACGAATGACTTGTGTAAGAAGAAGGTATATGAAAAGATTTTCATGGAAAAACGATGTTAATTAATGTAAGAGTGTCAACTTGCAAGTGTGTGAGATGACGATGATGTTGTGTTAAAAGAGTGTAAAAGGGGCCAAAAGCTATGCATGCACGTGTGAGTGCTGGAGAAGGAGTTAGAGAAGGCAATGGGTACGCCAGATGACTCATGTAGCAGAGCTGCCGGATCTCATGATGGTGGTCGGCGTTTGCAATGTGTGGCATGGTCGGATTGGTTGATATGTAGCCAATGGAGGAAGCAAATTTCTCGATTACTTCAATTCTCTTTTGCTTCCAAGCAACATAAACTAAGAATGGATTACACTTAATTATACCTTTATTTTACTTATACTTTTTACCTTTAAAATAATTTGTAGAAATCACAATAGAATAACAAAGAAAATCCCCATATTTATAATCAAGAGTTGTACGTATCGCACTTCGTATTTAAAAGAAATCTATTTTACGTTGTTGAAATTCTAATTTTACAATCTTAAGATTTAATCATAACTATCTTGATCGATCTTGCTTTTTGGAGCAAACGATTTACATCAAATGTAAAGGTTATATATATAAAACTGATCTGATTTATACTTATGCAAATCTTATTTTATATATATATATATATATA